TGTCTCACTAATTTATTAAACAGCCAACTTTGATGATGAAGTGTTAAAGTAATCATTGACCGACTGGCTACTTTTGATAACGAATATGTCTTCTGAATGTTCAGTGTTTTCTTTAGACTAACCGACACTAAAATGCAGTATAGTATAGTATACAAGCTACAGTTTTATTCAGGACCTAAGTTAATGAAACAAATTAGAAAAAAATCAATAAACGTATATTTCTTCTGTTCACAGATACGGTTGAAACGTATCATTTAGTAACCAAAAGAGTAATCTTCTTACCATATATCAAATCTGTATCTCTGCATCACTCTGCCGCAGTGTGTACATCTACCACTGTTAGTATTTAATGAATGGGAATTGGATTTTGGTACACACCCACATAGGGTATGTGCATACACATCTTTCATTGACTTTGAAGCATTTAAAAATGACCATGAAATCATAAATACACAAGAACAAACAAAGGTATGTGGACAAGTTTCATTGTATATTACTTTTTTCATCATTTCAGGGGGCTTAATCATTTTAGCAATCTGTATTACTAGTTTTAAACGATTATGCTTTCAGCCTACTACTATCAAAGTCTTCAATAACAAATGGATTCTTATATAACATGGGCAAAATATCGGACGGCATTCCTTGGTAATTAATCACTGTATGATATATATATCAATGTCAATTATAAGATAACGTTTTCAACTCTTTTAAAATGAACATCTAACGAGATGTCTGTATTGGTGGCCATCTGACAATCATAAAGGCTGAGACAACCTAGTGGCCTTTTATTAGTCTACAATATAATAGTTAGTCATTTATTTAATAGCTGAAATGCTTAACTATGGAAACCGCACAAATTTCATAAATAAATGACCAAAAGTCTGAATACAACTATCTAGACTGTGGAGTATACTCGTATGATCACAGAAGAAACCCAAAAGGCAGTTGCAGCGACGAAACGTGGTTTTCTTTTCAACAATGTCACCAAACAGAATTCACATTTATGAATAAATGGCAAAAAGGTGAAAGTTTCAGGACTAATTCTTGTTAGGAGTCGAAATAAAGTGAATTGTATGCATATGTACTTCGAATAATAGTAATAACGGTATATTCAGCGATTCATTAAAGCAACGTTTCTTTTTGGAACACGAAAACTGAATAAGAGCGAAGATATAGTGTTAGCACAAAGTGGCTGAAAGGGAATAATGCTTCATTCTTTTAACGATTCTCAATGTGGAAAATTCTCTACTCAGACACTTTTAAATACAAAGGATAAGAATTTATCTAAGTACTCTCTTCCATTACAGTTAAAACTAAAGCATCTAGCTGTACAATGGAGGGGGAGGGGGGATGAACATATTCACACTGACATTTCAGGGCTTCAGATCTCAGTTGACCATTAGAAAAGATTATGAAAAGTCCTTTCTTTTTATTTCTTGTTTCAATATATTAAATATTCGCCTAGTAAAATTTAGAACAACACATTTAAGCGAACAATATTGTTTTCAATTAAATCGCACCAGGCTTAACTCTAATATACATAACTTTACAAATAAAAATTCAAATATAAACCAATCATGGTGTTTTGTCTATAGGATAATAAGATGGTAAATTGAATTTTTGATTTTGCCGTCGATTGATTGGACCGAAGTGCTCGGTCTCAGGTTGACATGTCGGTTTCTTGTGCAGATGCTTCGACGATGTCTGGGTATTTAATTAGTATACAATTGGTGGATGGTGGCTAGCAGTGGAATCCAGGATGCGGTGGGAACATCGATGGGAACATTAACTATTACTACTGAATATAAATTTATGAGTAACATTCTTTTCTCTAGCTCACATACATAGTATTGTACTGTTACCGAAATAACTTCGTCCTGAAGACAATGATTTTGACGGTAACCACATTTTTATGCTTTCTGGGTAATAATTCGGAATGAAACAACCTCTCACTGGTTATTAAAACTCTAGAAACAGGTATAGTGGCCAACAATGGGGGAACGTGTACCACTACAGGCAGCTGAAACTATGCTTAGTATATAGAGATAGGAGTGAAGTAAGTAAAGTTGCTAATTTCTTTGGTCCCGAAATACTGTGAACATGATGGCTAAATTGCAACACCAAATATACAGCAATACAGAATTAACCGAGCGTCAAAATTTGGTGAAAAATTGGAGGAAATCCATCATCTATCATTAAATTGCGAAACAATTCAAGATAACTAGGGGAATTAACTCACTGTCGAGATGCGACATTATGTATGTTCTGATTTCTGAAAAAATTTAATATTAACTATAGTAGTTCATAGCTTTAACAACATTAGAACCCCCTTCTTCAATGCGCGCACACACGCAGTGTACACGTGCATTTCCATTTGAGAAAAAAGTTTCCTTTTCAATATCTCCTCTGAATTTATCAAATTTTATTTGAAATTCTTCAATGAAATAGTCACTATGGTGACAAGTCTAATCCTATCTAATTTTTTTCTTATACCTGTGGGGGATCTTTTACACTTACTGGGACAAATTTTAAGATTGTCCCCACTATTTGTGGGAATAATCTCTGTCTTTGTCACAATATGAACTTTAAAGATGTGATTAGAAATCGACCTAGTGAGAGTATGTTATTTCTACGGTAAACTACGAATTAGGGAAAAAGAATGCAGTAACCCTCGTAGCATCCTTTTTCAAACGACGTCTAGCCCACATACTTCATTGAAAAACAATAAAGTCATTATCTTAAGTGTATAAGTACTACTGCATATAATTATTATCTTTATAATTACTTAATTCCTTATTATTTGGCAATACAACATTCCTCATAAGTTGGACTATATCATTAAACAGCTTGTCCAATAACAGGAGACGATCATTTCAACTGCACTTGTTTTGAGTGTCAACTCACGTGTTATACTTTTACGCAGATTTTTATTTCGTTGTGAGCCCAGTGACTCTGTTTCCTATTCCTACGGCGGATGAATCACTTTATGCATAGAAAACTGTGTATCAGAATGACCATCACGCATCTACGTGTTTTTACTTTTACAACAGAAACACAATACAGCTTCCAACTTTAATTATACATAGAGTTGTGATATCCCCACTTTATATCTACTAGCATTGATCTTTTTTCCAAAAAAGTTAATCGGGCAAGATGTGAACTTCTTTTTGTAGTCGCTATGGATTCCGGCTGAATATTTTCTCCAGAATAGATGTGGATATATGTATATTATATTTATAATATTATATATATATATATATATATATATATATATATATATATATATATATATATATTATATTATAACTTTATTTGGTTTACTAAAGCGAAAGAATGTTTGTGACTGCATTTGTTTTAAAGTTAGTATTGATTTAGCTACAATTTTCTTTAAAACTGGCAAGATACTCCTTGAAGAGAAAAGACGACCATTTCATTCAATTAGTGCAGAACTTTGCTTGAAATCGCCTAGTGTTTTGAACTTATTCACTGTTTATGTCAAATATATGACAGTACAGAGACTTTCTTTCTGTTGTTTACTTGAGTAGGATGATATATATACCTTTAGATCAGTTTACACTGAGTCAATGAATAAAGCGAACCTTTCATTAGCTGCATAAAATCAGCCAATTTACGTTAACTGTCCTTCACTTCAGTAAGAAGACATTTGTCATTTGAAACAACACAACGCTTCCTGTACTTGTCAAACAAAAGTTATTGAACAACCAAATCGACTAAGTCTTTACCACCTTATTTCAAGAAGACTTCCTGTGATATAGAAATATCTGCCAACTGAACTCAACCATAGGAAAGAATTTATTCTAAACATCCACCAGTTTTGTTTCTTTTCTCAAAAGTATAGTATTAAGGTGAGTGCTATACCTGTCAGCATCTCTGAACTTCTTTATATTGTGTTGATAAACTCTTCTTCTTGGCCAAAACTCGATAGAGTTTCCAATCTACAGGTACATTGAGTGTAACACTAAGTAACACTAAGGAACTCAAATACTTCTGTTAAACCTGTCTTCGATTGAACATGTCTTGGCGAGAAAAGAATGGTATCCGTGTTAGGTTTTAGTACGAACAAAAAGTTAAAGTTATTTGTCGGAATTCCTAGGGTCTTTTACAATGTAAACAGTTTCTAACGGTAATTTAGATTCTTCGTATAATCACGTATTGAATTTCTCTATTTCAAAATATTGAACTTTTCTGTGAATTAAATACCACTGGTTGTTAATAGTTACTTGTTAAATCTGTACTTAATCTTACTCTCTTTACTTAGTGCTTTTTGCGTTCCCTGTCGTGAAATCAAAATATCAAAAACTAATAGTGACAGTTTACAGAATAAACCACAAAGTTTTCTGTCTGCTGACTTTTGGGTAAATCAAGTTAAATGGGGAAAATGCAGAACCACACCATGGACATAATAAGAAGTGAACAGTAATACGTTCTTAAATGCATAGCAGCTTTATCTCATTGAGACGTATATTAGATGTTCAGTCAAGGAGTGATATGTTTAAGTTCCGCTGTGTTAATCAAAACCTAGAAGTTATTTAGAATTACTGGCTGCCATACATGAAATCCAGTCTATTAACTGGTGGCTGGATATTTGTGGAAACGAAGAGTTGCTATTTGAAGTCACAGAAAAGAATCAAATTTAACCTAGAAAACGAATTTCTTGGTTATATCAAAAGAGAACAAGTGTTACCTTTCATAGGTCCCTAGGCCAAATTACAAATTTTAAGGAATTTTTTCTTATAGATTTTGAGTTAAGAGAATCATTTAAGTACAAAATCAATAAATGTGAAGTGTCACGTGATCTGACTATTACAGATTCACCATTGCAGTTGTTATTCAGCTAATGACACTTAAAAACAAAACGCTATCAAAGCAAGTGAACAGATACCTGTAATATCTTTTAATATTTATCATTCAATTAGCTCATGTTATATACTCATTAGTGTAAATTAGCAATGAAAAGTAATGACAACAACAATACTTACATCTACACGAAGGCTGGTCCGATATGTCAGGCCAAAGTATTCCGTTTCTTGTAAATCCAATTGTTTACAAACTTTTTCAAATAAATGAAACCCATAAGCATTTTTCTGAAAGAGAATATAATTTTATTGGGAAAATTAGTAAAATCTATTGTATGACATATCTGAAGACAAAATAATTTATTTTGATGATAATGCATTCTGTAGTGACATGCTTACAAAATAAGAGCAAAACCCGGGATTCTAAGAGATTTTAACTAATCACCTGAAGATTACTGATCTGACTCTTAGCTTGACGTTAAATCTATCTTCGTGATCATCTTAGCAACTAGGTTATACAGCTTAATTCTTACATCACCAGGATAGTAATCTAGAGAATTGCTGATGCAAAAATCCCCTTTCCAACTTCACTCAACAGCTAAGTATACTAAATCTATGTCAGTGTACCTGTTAATTGCCGATTCGCTATAATACCAAGCTTCCTAAAATTCTCTGGCGTTCTTGGTTTTTCCTGTCTAATATTTGAACATTGTCTCAGTCGAACTGACCGTCATCTACACCATCCACAAAATAAATTGCAGTGACTGAGAAAAGCGCTATATTGGCCGAAGTGGACGTCCTCATCGTCTTCCCATCCATGAACACAAACTAGCCGTCAAAACACATGATATCCACTCCCTCATATCACTCCATACAGACAACCACGGAAACTAATTTGACTGGGACAGTGTTCAGATATTAGACAGGGGAAATACCAAGAATTCCGGAGAAATTTTGGAAGCCTGGTATTCCAGTGAATCGGCAATTAACAGATGCATTGACATAGATAAAATTCTCCAATCCATAAGAGGAAAATCTCATGCACAAAAATTCAAACCTCTGTCAAGGAAACAATCAATACCAATACAAGTAGCCTACAGAGTGTGAAAACAGACGAGAGTAACCAATCATGTTCAGGGTGACCGGGAGAGATGACTAATAAACTCTCGGAGAAACTGAAAAGCTCACTTCAAATTGAAGTATGCCCTGAAGATGTTGCCTTGAAAGGCAGTGAAAGCCTCGCAAATAAACCAACCAGCTCAGATAACACAACTACATCGAAATCATCCACTTGAGCCACAAATCCTCTCCATTATATCTCAATTTCAGGTTTCCGAAGGAAACTGTGAAGAAATTTAACCTTGAACTGCCATGCTGTAAACGACCTGCTTAAACAAGAACTACATGTGTCCGACAACAAATGAAAACTATAATGTACACATATTGGTGTGCTTTTTTCAGTATCTGGAATGAATTCAATGTTGTTCAACAACAAAATCTGTACACCTGGTAATGAGCCACGTCTTTTGTGTGAAGGCTAGTGATACCACCGGGCTGCTGCACTCACGATAGATGAAGCGGAGTTTGGATCCTTGACCTACTAGTTGGAAGTTGCTCACCTAGACCAATGAGCCACAGCATCTTCGTGATCTGAATAACTTTGGTTTACGCATTAATGGGTAAACGGTTGGATAAAGCCCTTATGTTACTACATAAGGAAGTCTGCTCGTACAGCTTCTTAATGCACCTAGATTTTCCCAGATAACTACTCTAAAGTTAATTGATTTTCCTCATCAAAGTGCACATGAATTTGTTAAAATTATGCTAGGTGGAATAATGAGTATTCGCTAGTCTTGTTCACAACATGTTTAAGCCTGTTTGTTGACTAAACTGATCGAAACACAAATTTCATCTGGTAAACAAGCCTCTAGTATTATTAAATAAAGAATTTCTTATTTTTTCATAGTTAAATATACATATATATATACATATAAGGGTTGAAAATCGTTAATATGAAGGCTCAGCTGGGTATATTTGATGATATTCGAATGCATCTTGATATACAATTGGAATAACTTAAAATCTGAAGAGTGTAACTTAGAAAGTGTTTCTTTTCCCAGTTACTGTTATTGTACTGAACTGACGAATATCACTGTTGAAAAAACAAGGGACCAACTGGATAAACAAAACATTCTGCATAACTGATTAATCCTGTTTTGGAACTAATCAGGAGTGTTGAATTATTGATGAATGCGTTAACTGATGACTGGTTATACAAAAAATAGAGCTTAGTAATTTTCATGCCACCAGTTTTTAGTGTTAACACTTTTCTCCTGTTGGATCCAAAGCTGAGGAGTGATGTAGTATGTGACCCTAAGTACGGAATGCTGTGAAGTACGTAAATGATATGCTTTTTCAAGTACTGTTTTTGTAGGGATTTCGTTTGATTGGCTGGAGGATTTCACCATAAGCTGACACCACTTAGAGAACCTTTGGAGCATCTTGGAGTACTGGACAGCTTTACTTTATTGTGATACTGTCCTATGCTTTACCCACATTAAGGAAGACAGATACATAAACAGACTTATGACATCTTAGTAATTCAAAAAAGAAAAATGGAACTACATAATAATGATTATTATTATTTATTAAATTCTATTCCATTTCATTTTTATTATTCTGTTTACATGTACTAGATAAAATGGGTGTTGTCATCCGACTTATTGAGTTTGACTGAAACTGAAAAAATAAGGCGAGTGTCCCATCGACCTGACCTTTAACTTTTACCTCAATATATATATATATATATATATATATATATATAAGAAACTATTTATCAGATCCAAGTACCACTTCATCAATATTCATTACAAGGTTACTTGTTTAAAGCTATGAGAAGTTACAACAACAACCTCTCGTGACAAAATCTGTTTAGGGTGATAACAGACAAGCTATGAAGTATCCGATATATGGTATCAATCTTTGTTCAGCTGACGTTTTAGTCGTCAGTTGCAAAGCGCTACTAATCAGTGTTGAGCAGAAGACCGATGTTCTGCTTATATTAGTAAAATAAATAAGCAAGATCCTTTGAAATGAGTGTTGGAAGACAACATTAATTGGAAATTTTCTAGTGTTTTTAGATCTTTGATATTTGAACGCTGACGTCTCATCACCAGCTATGGAGACCTCTGCAATAACAATTTCCGAATATTGGTTTGTAGGGATTTCTTTGACTGGTTGGAGGATTTCATCATAAGCTGACATCGGTTGGAGAACCACTGGAAAACCTGGGAGTACTGGACAGCTGTCTCCTCCATCCCAGTTGGGGACTCTTCATCGGTATGCACGCAGCAGGGTTCGAACCCAGGACCTTCTGGTTACAAGGCGAGCTCGTAGACCGTTAAGTCGCAGGAACTCTATCCAACGGCCCATGAATTCTAACTTCTGTCAATTCACGACATAACGCGATGTCAGCTCATGGTGAAATCCTCCAACCAATAACAATTCTATTGAGAATTTTATCTTATATATGTATATACATATATATATTTGGTGCAATAATGATTAAGAAATTTACCTTATTTAATGGAAGTTGGTAGATATTAGAATGAAAAGAATTTGAAATGCTGATTAACATTTACAGGATTTCGCCTTAACTAGTTGTACCCCCAAGTATAAAATACAAAATCCTACTAATTGATGCATTTTACACGAAATAAATAGTTGTTTTCTTTTCATGAAATAAAACTGGAGGTGTTTTTTTTTACTAGAGTAAGACATCACACAATAGATTACATGCTAGCACATGACAAATTCATATTATGAATTGATAAATTGCAGCTTTCTTGTGATTAGACTAGTTAGATGCTTGCATCTTTTGGCAATGAATACCTTTGGCTTACGTTTGTTAGTTGTCTCATCAGTAATGAAATGTTTACAGCTGTTAACGGTTTTATAATTTTTAAATCACATAATCATAATATCTGCATACCTATTATATTTATTGTGAATTAGTAATTAATATTATCCTATACTGAAGAGAGACAGTTATCAAAAGATTTTTCCCGTTTATGTAAACATTGCTCAGAATTTATAAAGTTCGCTAAAGTTTTCAGATGAAATCAGACAATGATTGATAGCTTCCAGGCTGTTATGTGAATAAATTTGTCAGATTCTGGAATATAGGCATACTTACTAGCGCCCAATATTTGTCATATCTCTTGAACTGAAGGCAGCATTTGACTCTGTCAACCTAAAGGTACCTTGACAATGTTTTGCGACGAAGCGAGTCCCGAGAAAGTACATAGTACTAATCAAGGCACTTTACCAGAAGACATGAAACCTTATTAGAGTTTACAGACAGTTTTCATCTGACAACCAGAGGCGTCCCTAAGGGGCAGCTTCTGTCCTCATTTTTGTTTAATTACATGTACTAATAGAACTGGTGCTAACTGAGTTTAACAACTTCAGAATTCACTTGTTACCAAGATACAGACTACGCGCATGATAATGTCTCCTTAGGGGAAAACCCTGACACCGTCTCCCAGTTTAGAGAGGACGTTTGTACTGCCCAAAAGTTCGGTCTATACTTATTTGTTGTTATGAGACATGGCCATTGGAAGTGGAAGATATGAAGAGGCTAGCTGTCTTTGACCACAGATGTTTACATTCTATCTCTGGTGTTAAGATCTATAATAGGGTGAGTAACATCGATTTTAGGCGTAGAGTGTTAGGTGTCACGCATGCTTAACCATCACGTTTGTCGACGAAGAATGCTAACTGACATAGGATCAGGTTAGAAAAGAGTAAGCGGTGGTCATATCGTAACCTGACTTCACACACGAAGTCTTTGGCGGTTTGTTTGAGCCTTATAGGGATGAACAAACTGCCTGGTTGGGGTCCTTGGTATGCTAAGAACCAGTGGTTGGAGACTACTGGTACTATAACTCAAAATCGTTCTAAGTAGTGCAAATGCATTAACTCTTTGTGATCTCCCAAATCTATTAAACCATATTGTTTTTCACTGTCTATTTGTCTGTAAATAAAAACAGGTTTTCGTCTTAATAACAAAACGGAGGTTTCAAAATTGGAAATCAGTAAACTTAAAAAATATACCTTACAGGATTTTCATCATGAGCTGACATTAGTTAGAGAACCACTGGAAAATCTGGGAGTACTGGACAGCCGTTTCGTCCGTCCTAGTTTAGGACTGTTCATCAGTACGCACCCATCGGGATTAGAATCCAGGACCTTCTGGTTACAAGGCAAGCGAGCTCATAGACCACTAA